ATTACAAGCTACTTCTATTGATGTGTACCTCACACAATTCTGATGATTGTAGTGAACAGAATCTTGTTTGAAAGCAGTAAGAGAAATTATTTCCTCACAGCCAAATGCTGTTGATTGTCCTGCTGAAGTTGCAGAGATTTAGAAGCAAGCCATTTTGCTAGCTTCCATGCAGCTGGTTAATCCTTGGTTCCCGGGTCTTTTCTCCTGGTTCCAAATCTTTCCTAATGTTCCTTTTTGTCTCGCTCAATTAGCTATTGTTAGCAAACATTTTCAGGCTCTCTGCCAACTTTTGCATATGCAGTTTGTAGGGAAAATCTAATGCCATCTGTGCAGAGCAGGTGGCTTTGTTGTTCATTCATCTTTGGGCCTACTCTCATCACCAGTACAAGATTGCTAGACATGCTCTCAAATAGTACTTTGCTTTTGACCAGCCCTCTTGTGTAGCTAAATCTCTCCTGTTCCACTTTTGGCTGTTTTCAGAGAAAAAACTTATGGCTAACACTACTGCCTCTTACTGTGTTGCTCTGGCAGACCTGCTTTAACTCGGTTTTAGCTTGAGTTCTTTCCCGCTCACATTTGTTAGGCCCTTATTTCTTATAACTTTCTATTTTGCTGATGGAGCCCACCTGGTGTCTCGGTAAGGTTTTGAGTTTCTCCATCATTCAAGGACTTGACAAAACATTTCTGCTCATGCTAACTGCAGAAAATTTGGTTACCAAGCTCCATTCTATCCCTCAGAATCCTGTGTTTTGTTACTTTGATTAGGGAAGAAGTGTTTATTCATCTTCATCCTGACCCTAAGTAATAATGACTTTTTTGTAACAAGGTCCATTCATGCTTTGGGCATGGTTTATCAAACTAAGGCTGTATCACTCTACTTTAATCCTCACATCATGGTGTTCTATACTTAGGCAAGTATATCTTGGCTTCTTCACAGAGTGGTAAAAGTTGAACCAGCCACGGGTGTACCTTTTTCACATGAACTTATAAATTACTACTCAAGGTAGTAACGTATAGGTAGTAACGATGTCATGTTTTTACAGCTTAGTTCGGGGCTATTGGTGTGCCAGGCACATCTTCACTGCTAATGAGTGAATCTCCTCCCAGGTGATCCTTTCAGGCTTTGAAGGAGCCATGCTGTGGCTCTTTACAGTCTATAGTCTACTTAATGCCCTGTTGCTTCTGGAGCTCTACTCTGCAGAACTGGTTAGCATTTTCTCCCATTCATGTTATTTATAGTCTTGGTGGCCTTTTTTCCCATTATTATGCCTTGAGTTTGTTTGGTGTGGTGTGCCATGTGGTGTGCTGGTGCTCACACCAATCTAGTGTGCAGAGTTCAGTCAGTACACTGTGATGATGCTTGAAGCATAACTCGTCTAGGAGGGGTAGCTCATTACTAAATATTAAGGAATTACTGGTATAACTTTACCATTTTTACATCAGATCTGTAATGGAGTATAGTACTCGCTACTAATTTTGGATTCCTGTCAAGTATTATCTGAAGTTGTTAGAAAAAAATCAAGGTAGGGTTGCAAAACTAATAAGCAGCAAAATTTATAAACTTGACAGTGTTGTTTATCCAGACTTTCCAACACAAGAGCTGTGGCTGGGATATGTGTATTCTACAATGTTATAAATTGCATATCCCTCGTTTATCATCTTTAAAAGTCCCTTCCTGAAGAATAAATTACAAAACAAAAGGTATGTAACATCCATACAGATGTTCCATTCACACAAACAGCAGTTTTGATGCTCATATCACCTGAAATTTACAAAATTATGGAACACGTTTTGCCAATAAACTGGAAACCAAAACAGTGACTTAAACAAATCTAGTCTTAGAAATGAAAGGCTAATAGCACACACTAGCATGCAATTCAAATATTGAATCTCCACATTGCTGCAGACAACTACTGTATACTGTACTGTACAGAAAGTGCTATTCTAGTTTGCAAACATCAAAGAAAATTCTGATTTCAGTAGTGGTGTAAAACAACAATAATAATGATAATTGTGTGGACTATGGTTAGGAACATCAGTTATTGTTGTGTAGTCTTAATTATTTGTGCATATATGGGAGATACTAAACTTGGATTTTTAGTACAGTACTGTACTGTACATGTACTAAAATTTAAATGATGGTGGGAAGAATAGCACAGATTTGTTTTTTGGAGGAATAATGTAAGAACTGGTTTGGAAATAGGGTATAAATGAGTGGAATGGCTTGTCAGCTAGCTTTATTGACAGCTGAGCAGGTTTCAAGAATTGATTGGATAGGTAAATAAGTGAGTGGGTGGATTTAAATGGGACCCATCTAGTATGGGCCAACAGGCCTGCTACCTTGCTCCCTGATTGTTCTTGTGTCAATTAGCCCACAAAGCTCTATCACCCAGATCAGCATGTTCTCTACAATTGAGCTATTCTGTTTTGTAAAACATTTGACACTCTTGAACTAGGGTGCATTTTGGTCTTGCTGATCTAAGTAGGGAAGGGGGGGGGCAAGAATTTTCTCGGTAAAAAATGTTTTCTTGGCATCTGGGCCAAGAGACCTCAACCCATGGGTGTTGGGCTTGCATCACATATCTAGGACTCTTTCCCTTTAAGGGTGGGTTTTAATCCAGCCTGGAGGAATTTTATATACAGTACTGTAATAGTGTGTGCAGCATTTAAAAAAGTTTTATCCCAGGGGAGTGTAGTAGTTTTATAGGCTGCTATAGTTTAGGTCCTGGGCAACAGGGTGTCACCATGCAATGGACAGTAATGTAACTACACATGGTAACTACACATGCATACAAAATCTAGGTGAGTACACACACATTAAAACCATGTACAGTATTTGCAATTTGGTTCGTAAATTTTGGAGAGTTAGGCTGTTAGGATTAATATTTTTGACTTTCATATACTGTACGTTGAATCAACATAACGTAGCTTTTTAATTAGGGAGTTTGGTACAATAATATGATTTTAGTAATAAAGAACTGACGAGTGAAAATTTTATACCGATACTTGTCAGGATCTCGTATCATTCATTTGCAACTTGCCATGAATTTTTAAAAAAGTAAAGCGACTCTTAGCTTTACTTATCTCCAACTTTTTTTTTTTTTTACATTATTGGCTCTGACTTACGGACTAACAGAAAGGCCTCCTGATATTGGTATGTAAGATAAGAATACATTGCATGTTTGGCATGGCAGTATTCACTCTTTATGCTAGGCCATTGATTTATGCAGCCAGTAGTAAGTTGTAAATTTAATGTACAAGTATATAGTTGAACCGAGTTGTTTACCAGTTTTAATTTTGTCTTTACAAATATTGAATACAGTATTCTAAACTCTCTGTAGCGAGTTGAGAACATGCAGCCTTCTCTTACTCTAGAGATTGTTCTAAACAACTTTGTATTGTAGTTTGAAGTTCATAAATTTAAATTTTTGTATTTGAGAATTGTAGCATTGTATTTAATGTAACTTTGATAAATTAGTTTATTTGTAAAATACTGGAACCTGTAGCTTATTTAGAACCGAGTTGTGCAGCTTATTATTCAGTGATGATGAAGTATTCTCTAATATAATTACTTCAATTGCTCAGTCCTTGGTAGTTATTCTGTTCCTTAATTCATCTAAAGTATATACAGTATTTTTATTATTGCATTAGACTGCATAGTTAAATTGTTATAAACCACTCGAGTTGTCCCAAGTTAGAATAGCGCACTGCACTGTTTGTGGTTTTTATTTGAGTTAGCGTAAGAGCAAAGTATTGTGTTTGCAATGTGTCAAATTCTTACACAACTTGCCTGAAAATAAATGTTACAAAATCTGCTAATTCCTAAAAAAAAAAAATCAGTGTTTGAAAAGTAAGAAAAAATTAATAAAATTATATATTTTTTGTATTTTGTATTGTTCTTAACAGCACTATAGTGGTCTGATAATATGTTTGTGTCATCTGCACTATTCTGTTTGGTCCAATGACATAATTTTGCTTCAATGGAACACAAATTTTGCAACTTACACATCTCTCTCTTTTTTTTTTTTTTGATATACCAAGTATAGGCAGAGGTTTTGGCAACCATTATGGGTATCGCCCAGCCACTCTCGGCGCAAGTCAATCATTCACGATGAATTTGCACATAATTTCTCATTGCTTTGCAAATTGTCAAAAAACCAGTATTTACAACATTTTGGTTTTCCTTGTATGGGTATCAATATACATCAACCATGTATGCACATTATCTTAAATATATATTAAAAATTAATGCTGAAATCTGTTTGAATATTTATGTACTTGGCAATGTAACACCAACCCACAATAAATATAAAATTTGGGGGTTTTCTGTATTAATTTCTAAACATTTTGACACAAAAATAACCCAATTGCAATAAGTAACTTTGCAAATGTGAGAGTATTATAAGTTTTTGTATCATTGCAAGGGCTTAGTTGTGTGGGCTAAATTGGACTACGAAAGGAGTGGCAGGTTGGACTTTCAGTAGTGTTTATATATTTGCTTGTTCTGTAATGAGTAGGGCTATATAAATGCACACTATTTTTATTTTAATTAAGAAATGTTCAATACTGTATTGTCAAGTATATTGACCATTTCTACTAGTATTGGATTGATATTTTCACTGAATGTTAGAAGAAAATTGTTCCACATTATTTATATAAATTTTATTGTAATATGATGCATAAAGCAACATATCAAGAGAACTCTTACGTTTAGGGAGGGCGTTGGTGTCTGTTCTATTGCTGTTTGATTTTTGGTCGTTATATCTTGGCTTTTGTAGATGAAGTTATTCTATTTCATACTATGTTATTGTTGTTGATCATATATTGCAGCCAAATCCTCTTTATTACTAAAATGTCTTCATTCTGGGAGGTTGTGATGGAACATGCATTTAGAAACACTAACTGCATGAATATGTAATGAATTCCATGCAGCTCCTTTTTCAAGTTCAACTTTATGTTGATTCAAAATTATCTTGAAATGTTGCAATGTGCATTTGCAGACCTCAACAACTTCCAGTCCAAACATGAAGTCTGGTCGGTCGTCCTTCAGTGGATCAGTTGGTAGACCAGCTTGGGTGGAGAAAGAACTAGCTGGAAGAATAAAGGTGAGATGAGGCCACTGCAAATGCTGATGGATGAGAAACTCATTTGTGAAGCACATGATGTTCCCATATCACTCAAGATCCGTTGTGTATACAATCTCTACGTAGTTTGATATAGATGGCCATAAGTAGCATTAGTGACTTGAATTATGATTATGCATGGAATTTTACATAGAACCTATACTGTGAAATCTGGGTAGTGTTTTGGCTCTCTTCACATTGAGTCGAGTTATACTTTGTGATATTTATACAGCACAATATTTAAGAATTGGAATTACAGTATTGCAATGTCTCATCTTGCATAAACAATTTTTATAAACTGTTATATACGTACGGTGATTACGAATATGAAAGAAGTATACAGTAAGTTCAATAGCTGAAGTAAACATAGTTAAAATTCTTAATCTTTTACTATTTAAATATTTAGTGAATATTATACCAGACTAGCAGTCCAGTAGTCCCATAATCAATTTTTCTGAGGAGGAAGCTCTGTTGTTTACTTTAAGCAAATTTCAAGAGTTCAGTATTGACATATTCCCATTGACCCATCGAAATAAAAATTTGCAAACATTTAGACAAGGTGAATACTTATTCTATCTTGCCTTTTCTGCAAGTAACTCTAGGCATTAGCAAAAGTGTCAGTTGACTTGCACCATTTTTGCTCCATTTTTGTTTTTCTTCCAAGCCAAGGATAAATGCAGCCCAATTTTTTTTTAGTTTTTATTACAATTATAAGAAATATGTATATCAGAAAACAATATGCTATTTCCAGATGTACCATTAAAACCTAATCAAAAATATGAAATTCAGTTAAAAAAATAAAAAATTTTCATTTTTCAAGTAAAAAATATGGTCCAAATAACAATCCCAGGCTGTGTCTTTTCAAGATGGCAGCAAAAACTGAATAATTATAAATTCAACAAATAGCCCTAATTGTTATAATTGTGGGTGGTTTGGAGAGCATTGTGTGTAGATGGGTGATAGAGGGAGGTGTGTATGTGGGGTGGGTAATAAGGAAGAGTTCTGTTTGTTGCGGGGGATGGGGTGGGGAAAGATGATAAGGAGAGCTGTATATGTGTGGGTGGAGGGAAGAAGTAGGAGTGGTAATGAGTTTGTTGGAGGATGGCTTGGTGGTATTGTGTTGGTGGGTGGGTCATAATGGGTAGGTGGTAATGAATTTAGTATTGGATGAGTGGGGGAGAGAAGGGGGAAGGTCTTTGTTGTATAACGGTTTGAAACTACTGACTGTTTTGGCCTCCTCCACCTTCTCACTTGACTTGTTCCAAACGTCTAACACTCTGTTTGCAAGAAAAAACGTTCTGATATTTTTTGGCACCTTTGTTTCCTTATCTTGAGGTCATCTTGAGATGATTTCGGGACTTTAGTGTCCCCGCGGCCCGGTCCTCGACCAGGCCTCCACCCCCAGGAAGCAGCCCGTGACAGCCGACTAACACCCAGGTATCTATTTTACTGCTAGGTAACAGGAGCATAGGGTGAAAGAAACTCTGCCCATTGTTTCTCGCCAGCGCCTGGGATCGAACCCAGGACCACAGGATCACAAGACCAGCGTGCTGTCCGCTCGGCCGACCGGCTCCCAGCTCCTTAGCTTGAATTTGTCTTCTTTTTTGTGAAGTTGCTGTTTCAGAAATGTTTTCTTTTTTCAGTTTGGTCAATTCCTGTTAGTATTTTGTAAGTGGTGATTGTATCACCTCTTTTTTCTTCTATCTTTTAGTTTTGGCATATTTAATGCCTCTAGTCTCTTCTCGTAACACTTTTGTTTAGTTCTGGAAGCCATTTTGTATCATGGTGTTGCACCTTTTCCAGTTTGTGCTTCTTGAGATTTGGGCATCATACAACTGCTGCATATTCCAATTTTGGTTTTGCAAAAGTCATGAACAGTTTCTTTCATATTTCATCATCCACATAATTAAAAACAAGTCTGAAGTTGGAAAGTGATGTATACAATCTTCTCACAATATTCTTTGTGTTCCTCTGGCAACAGCTTACTATCCAAAACCACCCCTAGGTCTCGTTCTTTATTAGAGTTCTGTAATTCCTTTCCACATAATTTGTAAGTTGTGTGTGGTCTATTTTCTCCAATACCACATTCCACAACATGGCATTTATTAACATTGAATTCCTATTTGCTACTTGATGCTCAAAGCACTTATTTATCTAGATCAATTTGAAGGGCATTATAATCTGTCTCCTATTTTCCCCAGTATCTTAGCATCATCTGCAAACATGTGCTTATAATTCTGTATTCCTTCTGGTAGATCGTTTATGAAGATAATGAACATTACTGGTGCAAGAACTGAACCCTGTGGTCCTCTGCAAGTAACACTTTTCCAGTCAGATACATTGTGTCTGATTACTACCCTCAGCTGTCTTGTCAGTTAGAAAAATGTTCATCCATGTCAGAAATTTCCCTGTCACCTCTCCATGTTCCAGTTTCCAGAACATCCTCTTGTGTGGGACTATCAAAAGCCATTTTTTTTTTATGTCCAGACACAGTCAACCCAACCACCTCTTTCCTGTAGTATCTCTGTGGCTCTATCATAAAAACTAATTAGATTTGTTACACAGGATCTTCTTTTTCGAAAACCCATACTGTCGCTCAGTTATTATGTCATTAGTCTCGAATAAGTGTTCAACCCATTTGGCTTTAACTATTTTCTCTAGTATTTTGACTACCATGCTTGTTAATGATACAGGTCTATAATTTATAGGTTCCTCTAGACTACCATTTTTTATAGATTGGTATTATGACTTTTTCTATATACAGTATCTGCTATGATTCCTGTGCACAAGGATGTCTGGAATATTAGAGTAGAGTGCTCCGCTCAATTGCACATTCACGCAGCACCCAAGGTGAAACTCGATCAGATCCAACCGCTTTATTTCTTCCTAGCCCCATGAGTAATTTTTCCACTTCATCTTGAGATACCTCTGTGTATTCTATGGTGTGCTCTGGAGTTGGTGTTTGGTCCAACTCTCTGAAATCCTCATTTTGTACAAACACACTTTGGAACTGTTCATTTAGTGTTTCACACACTTCTTTTTCATTCTCTGTAGTCCTGTTCCTGGTTCTCAATCTCTGAATTTTATCTTTTACATGCAGCTTGCTTTTAATGAATTTATTGAAAAGGCCTGGATCTGTTTTACATTTGTCTGCTATAACTTTCTCAACGTTCCTTTCTGCCTCTCTTCTCACTGCTGTGTAATTGTTTCTTGCTTGATTGTAGTGCTGGTATGTTTGCCGGTTAAGCTGCCTCCTGATATTGAACCCATTTTCTTGTCTTTTCCACTCTGGTCCCCCCTCACAATTTCTGTTGAACCAATTAAGTTTTCTGGTCCTGCATCTCTGTTTTGGTATGAATATTTGTGTGCAGATATATTTTGCAAAATTTGGCATACATCTCATTTACTTCCTTGCCTATCAAGAAGTCTATCCAATTAAACTCTTTAAATAATTTTCAAAGTTCCCCATAGTGTTCTCTCGAAATAATTAATCAATTGTTTCAATGTTGATAAATTATTGTTGATTTATTCAATGTTGATAAGGGGAGCCGGTCGGCCGAGCGGGCAGCACGCTGGACTTGTGATCCTGTGGTCCTGGGTTCGATCCCAGGTGCCGGCGAGAAACAATGGGCAGAGTTTCTTTCACTCTATGCCCCTGTTACCTAGCAGTAAAATAGGTACCTGGGTGTTAGTCAGCTGTCACGGGCTGCTTCCTGGGGGTGGAGGCCTGGTCGAGGACCGGGCCGCGGGGACACTAAAAAGCCCCGAAATCATCTCTAGATAGATGTCCCCATTCTCTTCTCGATTACATTGCAAAGCATATTTAATTTCCAACAGGACATGATCACTCTTTCCCAAGGAAGGAAGGTACTGGATATCATATATCTTTTCTTCTTTCCTGGTGAATATTAGATCCAGTATTTATGGAACATCCCCTTCCCTCAGTCTTGTGGCCTGCTTGACATGTTGATACATGAATGTCTCCGAAATGAGGTTTACAAATCTGCCTGTCCAAATGTCTTCCGTTCTTGCCTCATAGGCCTCCCAGTCTAGTGCTTTCAAGTTGAAATGAACAATCGTGATTTATCTTTATCATCTTTTACTATAATCTCTCTCATGACCAATGAGGCCCTCTCGTTTCTCATCCAGTTCCTCCTTTGTCCGTGTGTTGCTTGCTGGTGAGCTGTAGGCATTTACAATTATCAGTTAATCATCCTGATTCCAGACCTGCAATGCCATTATATTCTTGAGGGTTTTTGATTGTTAACACACTTACCTTCAGGTGTTCTTTCACCAGGACAGCCACTCCTCTCCCCCTTCCTAATTTTCCAGTCATGTCTCTAAACTAAGTAGGCCCCTGGGAATACAACCTCATTTAAAAATGTGTGGTAGAAAGTGCACATGGTGAATGTGATGAGTAGTTGTGATTTGTGCTATCCAACTATGGCTCTACCAAGACGGACCATTTGATATATCCATGCTTACAAGCTGCATCCAAACCATGAAACTGGATATTTATTGGGCAAAGAAAGCATTAAAGCAAAAAAAAAAAAAAATTGTTGTAGTGAACAATTTTAACTTAAATATTTGTTTTGGACAATAACATATTTCGATAGCGATGTTTGTTCAAGTGAGATATATGCTGCGTACTTTCAAATGCAGAAGCAAGTAACAAAGCATTGTTACTTGAAGGTGCTGTATCATGCTGCAAAATCACTACAAAATCCATCCTAACAGTGATGAAGCTAAAATTTACCAGTTCTGTCAGTGAGTACCAAGTTACAAAAGCAATACCACTAGAACTGATTTTGTTTTTCCCAAGTGATGTATAGATTACAGAAGTAGGCTTGATAGCTTTCATGGTAAAATCAAACATTTGGATCAAAGGCAGCAGTATCTTCATTCTTAATATTGAGTGCCTATCACAAAGATAGGCTTCAGAGTACAATAACTTCAGTAAAGCCAAACATGGATGACTCTCC